TTCCCGTGGCCTGAGAATATAGGCCAATATGGAGGGAGGGGGGCGGTAGCCAGCCATGGCAGTAAACAAAAACAAAGCAAAAATAAATAAATATTACACATTACTGGAGGCAAAGAGAAACAAATCTGGATGAAGAACTAGCAGTTATTAGAACACGAGCTTCATGTTGGCCTTGAAATTCTTTAGCGTACAAGACGATTTTACTGATAGAGGCAGGGCCAGCCAGAGAGAATAGGCAGCAAAAAACGGAGATCTGGTATAAGCTGAGGTTCGGGCTTTAGGTAAAGTGCAGGGATTGCGCGTAGGACGAGTGGGAAGAAACCAGTTATTTATCACCCACACGTACATCAAGCAAGTGGAAAGTGGGGTTGCCGAGCTGCTGCGGCTGGATCATATCAAGTGTTTTGTAACAGAATTTGTAATCTGCGAATTGTTTGCAACAATGCATTTATACCAGGCGGCCCAGCAAAGCGGGATTGTAGAAAATTCTGCTACAATGCTGGTAGATGGCAGGCAGTGCAAGAGATTAAGGCCAATGATCCTAACTAATGCTGCTGTGCCCTTGTGGGGCACGGTTGTGCGCAGGTAGTCAAATGACTGCTGGGACCGGACGGTCCTGCTGTATGCTGGGGCCAATTGGCCCGGCTGCTGGACACAATGTGTCTATGCTGGGACCAGCTGGTCCTGCTGGGACCATGTGGTCCTAACTAATGCTGCTGTGCCCTTGTGGGGCACGGCTGTGCGCAGGTAGTCAAATGACTGCTGGGACCGGACGGTCCTGCTGTATACTGGGGCCAATTGGCCCGGCTGCTGGACACAATGTGTCTATGCTGGGACCAGCTGGTCCTGCTGGGACCATGTGGTCCTAACTAATGCTGCTGTGCCCTTGTGGGGCACGGCTGTGCGCAGGTAGTCAAATGACTGCTGGGACCGGACGGTCCTGCTGTATGCTGGGGCTGCTGGACACAATGTGTCTATGCTGGGACCTGCTGGGACCATGTGGTCCTGCTGCTGGGCAGCGCGTGCCGCCAGTGCTTGAAAGCTCATGCAGAGAATTGTTCCAAAATGCATTCAGCTGAGGGGCTTTGCTTGCTTCCCCCCTTTCTGGAGGCGCTAGAACTTAGAAGTGGGTTGTGGTGGGCGGGAGAAAATTCGCACAACACTGCTGATATTGCAAGCCAAGGTGCTCAAACAAATTTGTTTGCATAGAAATGTTATGAACTGCTATATTAGGTGCCTTATGACTCTTGTGTCACACTGTATGTTGCTATGCATGCTGTGTACACGCTCACCCATATGCGCGCGCCTCTGCTTTATGTGTACACCTCTCATGCTGTGCATGTGTCTAGCCACGTGCGTAGCTGCACTCCTTTCTCAGATAGACCCTTTGCACAATAAGCGAGAGGGGTCGAGACGGGGCATGCTGTGCACGCGCTGCACACTTGGCATGCAACCAGCATGCGTGGTTTGCTGCAGGACGTGATCAAGTTTCCTGTGAGAGGCTGTGTTTTCACGGTCCCGACGCGATGTTCATGTATGTACTCCGCAGCCTTTTTTCATTTGAAGTTTTTTTAGTTCTGAAGGAAGAAGTTCCGAAACGCTTTCCAAGGACCACTGTTGGGTTCTTGTTTGCAGCAACCGTCATCCCTAACGTTAATCTAAGGAACCCACTTGTCTTTCCATGCGTTCCCTGGTGATGCTGGCATACCACACTCTGGAATCCTGGCTATCTGGCGAGAAGAGGGCCGCAGTGCTGCGATATCGTTCCCAGTGTTGTGCTCGGAACACTTTATCCATGACGACTTTCATCCGACCTTGCTTTTGCGAAGATATGGAACGCCCTGCCAAGAGACTCTGGAGCTTGAGAAAAAGGCATGACCCATCCCTGTCTTCGCTATTGGAAGATCGACTGCTTGCTGGCGTTGCTCGAGCTGTTGATGTTGAAGTGGAGAGAGACGGACGGAGCCTCATCGTTCAGGTGTGCGGAGAAAGTCATCTGAGTTCGAGCTGTGGGCGTGTGGCTGTGTGCACGATATGACAGACTTTCACATTATGCACATAGCCACCAAAGTAAAACTCATGGACACTATCCACGGGCCTGTTCACTTGTACTACTCCATCAGCTCCCTCTTCACTGTCGTCGGCGACTTGCCCCTGCGTTGGGAGACAAGCAAGCATTCTGTGGCACTCACTCTGGGAAACAGAGGTTCATCACTCATCCACTGGGACGCATGAAATGTTGGGCATGATGAAGGTACACTCGAGGAAGTGGTGCCCTTCTTAGTTCTAGGAGCATCAGGGTTCTGCATAGAGAAGTGTTCTCTACATCGACAGGGGAGAGAAGGTAGAGAAAAGAAAAATAAATTTCAATCTACAGTTATCCGAAATATCCACTGAATGCGGAAAACTTACCTCTCCAACAACTCCTTCTTTTTCCAGACAGATACGCACCCTCATTCACCAGGAAACTGTTCAGTTCCTTCACAGACCATTCTTCATTTGACAGTTCGTCCACGGGTTCCACAGCCATCGATGGCAAACCACTCGACACTCTCTCCTCCATCTCCAAAATGGAAAAATACAGTGTTCCACCATGCTCAACAACTGATACTCCGCACAAAAATCGAAGAGGATGCCCCGTCTCGGATCACGTGACCGTTATTGTGCAAAGGGTCTATTGCATGCCCGTCTTTCTGTACTTCAGTAGTTGAGTCGATCCTTTAGTTCAGTGTGCTTCAGTCTGGTTCTGATAACTATTACTAAAGTCTTCTATGTCTCTTCCAATTCTCTTGTAAATAATTCATTCCCTAATCCGAAGTGTTGCGCTAGTGCTGGCTGGTCGAACGTGGGTTCCACTACAACTGGTGCCGAAACCCGGGACGTGTGTGTTGTATTGACGAGTGCAAACCCTGCCACGCCAGCGAGATGTCGCTCAAGTTTGACAACTTCCTCCAGCCGTTCCGTGGGAACGGGGACGATTTCGGACGTTTTTGGGATAAGTTTCTGGTGCTTGCAAACATACAAGGTTGGGACACGGACGACAAGAAAGTGAAGAATTTTCCGTTGTTCCTGACGGATGACGCGTTTCTTGTATTTTCACGGATGCCGGCAAGCGATCAGAAAGACAAAGATAAAGTCTTGGCGAAAATGGGACTGTCGTTCACTCTGACGAAGGCGCAGGCGTACGCCAGATTCACCTCACGGACGATGCGCGTGGATGAGTCCCCCGACGCCTACGTTGCCGATTTGCAGCGACTGAGTACTATGGCGGGGCACAAGGCTGATGACGACAAGGACCCGATGATCATAGAGCAGCTGATCAAGGGACTGCCGGTAGAGTTTGCCCGAGAGCTAAGACTTACGATGGCGGGCAAAGAGTTGAGTGTGACGGGTTGCCTGGACGTGGTACGGGCGTTGAAGGCTGCGACCTCGGACCACTTGACACGAGTGCGTGGCGATGTTGTTGTGGCAGCTGCCACCACGGATGAGCAGGCGTGTTTCAACTGTGGCGGAGTTGGCCACATGGCGCGGCAGTGCCCGAAAGCGAAGAAATCTGGTCGCAAGAGTGGTGCTGGTAAAGGAACGCGCGGCGAGCGTACTGGCCCTCGAACCTGTTACTTCTGTGACAAGCCAGGTCACATGAAGAGTGACTGTCCGGAGCGTAAAGCCTGGCAAGAGCGGAAATCGTCTGGAGCAGCAACGGCTGCAGACAGTGGCTCCCTGGCGAGGGGTGCGTGTTTGTGCACTGTAGCCGAGGCTACTAGAGCTTCACTGCCCAGAATCTACGTTGACGTGCGAGGCGTGGTAGGCAGCGAATGGGCACGTGCTAGAGCAGCAGTGGACACTTGTGCAAGTTACACAATGGTTACGGTCGAGTTCCTCAAACTTCACAAGATTCCGTTCACTGCTCAGCCACGTGTGTCTGTTGTATCCGTGGATAGCAGCAAGGTGAAGATCAGAGGAGCAGTTGATGTGGAACTGCAGCGCCAAGGGGATGGTGAACCGGTTAGTCTGCCAAGAGTGCGTGTGAATGCCTGCGTTGTCGACTCATTGACGGCTGTGGCAGCAGACCTCCTCGGTGCTGACGTTATAGCTGGTGTTGGTGGCGTTCGACTCAGTTATGGCCAGGACGGCGAGGTCAATGGCGTGTGCTTTGGTCCTCAGCCTAGAGATACCGGTGCAGCCGCTACTGCTGCAGCTGACGTTGAGAGCACACTCCGTCATGTGGTTGTCACAGAGGACGATCGTGGTGTGACCCTGAAGGCCGAAGACGGAGAGCTCCGGTGGGACAACGACAAGCAGCATTGGACGTTGCACTGGCAGTGGCGTGATGGGCAAGCTCCTACATCTCCGATCGGCTCAGGGATCGGACAGTACGCGAGGCACAACCTGTCAGACAAGCAAGAGTCGCAGTTCTGTGACGAGATGGACGCCTGGGTCGAGAATGGCTACCTGATCGAGTACGACGAGGCTACGCACGGTCCTCCGGCGGCCATCATTCTGCTGCTCGCCAAGGACCAAGCCCACAAGGAGTCGACCCCAGTTCGTCCTTGTCTTGATTACCGTGGCTTGAATGCGGTGATTAAGTCGAACCCAGGCACTGATGCCCCAGCATGCGGTGAGAAGATCCGCAAGTGGCAACAGGTTGCAGACAGCCAGTTTGAACTTGTCGACATACGTAAGGCGTACTTGCAGGTACGAGTCGACCCATCCCTCTTGCGCTACCAAGTCGTGGTGTGGCGTGGGAAGCTGTACGCCATGTCACGGATGGGTTTTGGTCTATCGATTGCACCAAAATTCATGGACATCATTGTTCGGTGGGTGACGCGACGATGGCCTGATGTTGACAACTATGTTGATGACGTCCTCACGCCAGCGGAGAAGCGCAGGCCGTCGCTGCAGAGCTAGCACGGTATGGCTTGCCGACAAAGCCACCAGAGCATCTACCCGAGGCGCGAGTGCTTGGCCTGAAGCTATCGACGACTGCTGATGGTACCATCATGTGGGCTCGCCGCGATGGAGTCGACCTCAGCTTCCGTCAACCGCTGACGAAGCGTGGTGTATTCCAATGGACGGGTCGGCTCACAAGCCACTATCCAGTGTGCGCATGGCTTCGCCCAGCCTGCTCAATGTTGAAGCGGCTATCAAGTGCAGTGGACAGATGGGACACGCCGGTTCCACCTAGCGTTCTTCAGTGTGCTGACGAAGTTGCTGAGCAGCTGTCCGCGCAAGACCCCGTCCGTGGTGTGTGGCATGCATCAGCCGAGTCCGATGGAGATTGGGCTGTGTTCTGCGATGCCTCGGATCTGGCAGTCGGTGTGGTCCTCCAGCTGAACGGCCAAGTCATCGAAGACGGTACATGGCTGCGGGACACAGCCGATAAGAAGCACATCAATGTGGCGGAGCTAGATGCTGCCGTGCGTGGACTGTCGCTTGCAGCGCAATGGCACCTGCAGACGGTACGACTCGTCACCGACTCCAAGACAGTGTACGGCTGGCTGAAGCAGGTCCTCGGCAATGTGCGCCGAGTGAAAGTCGGTGGGCTGCACAAGATACTGGTTGAGCGGCGACTGGAAGTGATTGCTGACCTCGTCCAAACGGTCGGCCTCAAGGTCCGAGTGGAGTGGGTGCCGACTGACCAGAACCCAGCCGATGAGCTCACCCGTGTCCCGAGGCGGTGGCCCAAGGGTACAGATGAGCCGAGTGATGTTTGTTCTGTTTCTGTGGCAACGGACAAGCATGCTATCGGGCCCGTTACTCTCAGTGAGATAAAGGATGCGCAGCAAGCCGATACCGAGATATCACAGCTGCTGGATGAGCTGAAGTCGGGAACCCCCCTGTCGTCGAAGCTGTACAGACCGGTCCGTGATCAGCTGTTGGACCATGACGGTGTGCTGATGCGTTCAGTAAAGCTGCCACTCGACGGCGTCGTGCAAGTGCCAGTCATACCGCCTGACCTTGAAGACAAAGTACTGAAAGCGTCTCACAAGACCTCTGGCCATGCCACCTGGACGACAATGCATGACTCACTGCGCAAGCGCTGCTATATGCCGCTGATGGCCGAGAAATGCCAGAGTGTTGTCCAAGCGTGTGTGCCTTGCTCTGCAGCTAACCCGGCACGGGGACCGACTGTTGAGCCAACGCGTCCAGACGTACCAGGACGACCATGGGAGGTCATACAGATCGACACGTTGGAGCTTGGCCAGAGTGGAGCGCACCACTGCTGCCTGGTGTGCGTCGACATGTTCACCAAGTGGGCGGAGGTACAGCCACTACGTCGACACGATGCAGCGAGCGTAGCAGCCGCACTGACCAAGATCTGCTGCCGGTGGGGCCCGCCGTCTGTCATTCGCATGGACAACGGCACTGAGTTCCGGAACGCGGTCGTAGCAGCCCTCCTGGAACAGTTTGGTGTGGTGGTGAAAACGGGTGCAGTTCGACATCCTCAATCACAAGGAGGGGTTGAACGGCTCAACCGTACAATCATCGGTCTCCTGCGTAAGGCGCTCGAGGAAACCAGTGACTGGACGTCTGAGCTGGAGTTGGTTCTGTTCTACTACAATGGACGTCGCCATGCTACAACCGGAATATCGCCAAGGCTGGCCATCACGGGCTGGGAAGGGCGCGATCTAGTAATTGATCACGACCCGACAGCATACAGCGCCAGTGAATGGGTAGACCGACTCGCCGGGCGCGCTGCTCGAATTCGAGACCTTGTTGAGTCGCTACTGTCCTCGAATGACTCTGTGTCAGGCGGTCCAACAGAGTCACCATACCGTGTCGATGATCCGGTGATGCTACGTCGCCCAGAGCGGAGTCAGAAGCTCATGACGCCATATGAGAGTGGCTGGACGGTGCTGAAGATAGTCTCGCCATCGACCCTGGTGATCCAGCATGCTGACGGCAGAGAGAAGGTCGTGAACGTTGATATCGTGAAGCCTGGACACGCCCAGCAGGTAGATGGAACACTAGATGATGGTAACCATGATGCTGCCGAAGATCGCCCAGAGCCAGCTGCCTGTGATAATGTGGTGAGCATCGAGTTTGCGGCTGACATGCCGACTCAGCGCTACGATCTCCGAGGCCCTGGTAATCGACGACAGCCAGCTAGATACAGTGGATGATCAATGGCACCTAGGGGAGTGGTGTTATGAACTGCTATATTAGGTGCCTTATGACTCTTGTGTCACACTGTATGTTGCTATGCATGCTGTGTACACGCTCACCCATATGCGCGCGCCTCTGCTTTATGTGTACACCTCTCATGCTGTGCATGTGTCTAGCCACGTGCGTAGCTGCACTCCTTTCTCAGATTGCATGCCCGTCTTTCTGTACTTCAGTAGTTGAGTCGATCCTTTAGTTCAGTGTGCTTCAGTCTGGTTCTGATAACTATTACTTCTATGTCTCTTCCAATTCTCTTGTAAATAATTCATTCCCTAATCCGAAGTGTTGCGCTAGTGCTGGCTGGTCGAACGTGGGTTCCACTACAGAAAGGTCTCGCTGCTGTTCATTGCCAGCAAGGCTGCAAGTCCAACGCTTGCGCATGTGCCATTTTCCCACGCTTGGGGACGATGTACGATGACAGCCGGCGTTGCGGACTGCCTGCGAGGCGCTGGCCGCGAGTGCTTCTGTGGCATGATAACTTTGGTTTGCCCGTTGCAAACCTACATTTATCACCCACACGTACATCAAGCAAGTGGAAAGTGGGGTTGCCGAGCTGCTGCGGCTGGATCATATCAAGTGTTTTGTAACAGAATTTGTAATCTGCGAATTGTTTGCAACAATGCATTTATACCAGGCGGCCCAGCGAAGCGGGATTGTAGAAAATTCTGCTACAATGCTGGTAGATGGCAGGCAGTGCAAGAGATTAAGGCCAATGATCCTAACTAATGCTGCTGTGCCCTTGTGGGGCACGGCTGTGCGCAGGTAGTCAAATGACTGCTGGGACCGGACGGTCCTGCTGTATGCTGGGGCCAATTGGCCCGGCTGCTGGACACAATGTGTCTATGCTGGGACCAGCTGGTCCTGCTGGGACCATGTGGTCCTAACTAATGCTGCTGTGCCCTTGTGGGGCACGGCTGTGCGCAGGTAGTCAAATGACTGCTGGGACCGGACGGTCCTGCTGTATACTGGGGCCAATTGGCCCGGCTGCTGGACACAATGTGTCTATGCTGGGACCAGCTGGTCCTGCTGGGACCATGTGGTCCTAACTAATGCTGCTGTGCCCTTGTGGGGCACGGCTGTGCGCAGGTAGTCAAATGACTGCTGGGACCGGACGGTCCTGCTGTATGCTGGGGCCAATTGGCCCGGCTGCTGGACACAATGTGTCTATGCTGGGACCAGCTGGTCCTGCTGGGACCATGTGGTCCTGCTGCTGGGCAGCGCGTGTCGCCAGTGCTTGAAAGCTCATGCAGAGAATTGTTCCAAAATGCATTCAGCTGAGGGGCTTTGCTTGCTTCCCCAAGAAGAGTCAGTGGTTAGTGGCAACCCCGCATATACACACTGCTTTTCTTGCTTTCTTTCCGCGGTTGAGCAAACGCTGCGCTACATGCTTGCAGATAAGCTTAGCAGTGACAGTGCGCAACACAATGCGTTAAAGAGTTTGCATATGTGGCTGCTGGGAGGTCATATTCCTACATAAGGGGGGTGCAGAGTGCTTAGAGTATTTTGGGCAGGATTGATACAAACACAATGCCCAGCAACACGCGCATGCACACATGGCAGCGTAGCCGGCTCATTGCTGGCCAAGAGGCAGGCCAGCCGGCACACAGAGGTACGTTTTGTACGTGTCACTAGCCCAGCGGCCGGCCTTCTGGAGCTGCCAAGCTGAGGCATTCCTTCCTGCCATTGCAGTAACCCTGTCGATCCTGAGGGAGTGACTGCTACCACCCGGACCTAGGACTCTCGTCCTCCAGTAGTTAACATCCTTGGCTGTGAGATATTGCCCACTTCAGAATATGAACAGCGGTGACGTCGTTTGCGTTGCGTGGCGGATAGTGAGGTACTTGCGCATTGCTTGGACAGGGCAGAGCTGGCTGCCGGACCATGGCTGCAAGATGACTTGGCCCCCAGTGCCACGTTGGGAGGTCTTTGTTATCCCGAGTCGTATGCTGATCTGAGTCCCAGTGAGTGAGACTTGACCAAGGGTCAGAGTGCAGCCATTCGAAGCGGAGCGCGGAGAGGCGGCAGTATCCTCGCTCACTCTGAGCAATCCCGCAAAGGCTGTCATGAAGGCGGCCCAGAGCATGCACCTGTCCGATTCGCAGTAGTGGGAGCGCTGGATCACGGGGGTCAAGAGCTGCTGCAGGTCTGATTGGGTGGTAGCCTGGCGTTGACATTGTGTCGGTGCTGCTTGCTGGCGGTGCTGCCATTGCTGACGCTCAGCTCCCTCCAGGGCTGCTGTAACTCTATCGTGCCGAGTTATGTGTGACGGCCCACCATGGCAGAGGAGGTAATACTTCACGGCAGATACATATACTCGGATGGTTGCGCTAGATCTGTGACCGGATACGCAGTGGGTGATGAATTCCAGCAAGTCATTTACCGACGGGCTACTCGGCTGGCATCCCAGTTGTGTACACAGCTTCAAATACGCCCTAGTCCCTGGCAGGTATGTGCGGGCAGAACTTGGGGCTACTGAGTCCCTAATTAGGTCGCCGGCCTTGATCAGTAGCGTCTGACGGAGATGATGTGCGCTATTGAAATAGTCTGTTTGTTGGCATTGGGCAGCATGATGCGCCCATTGTTCTCCCCATAAAGAGAGTGCAATGGCAATTGGGTAGAGTTCCCGCCAGATAATGCTGCGAAATGGGCCATCCGACTGGTGTGCTGACCAGGTGCCGTAGAACCGCGCTGTGTTATAAAGCCCGCCGAAACCGAAGCCAGGCGTGTCAGTGAAGAGCTGAAGGCTGGGGGACTTGGACCAACTGATGTCTCTGAATAGGGCAATGCCATTCCATGGGAGCGCCGATTCGAGCAACTAGTGTGATAGCTCTGCTAGGGACCGCTAGATGGCTCACAGCTGAGCCGGCAAATGACTCCGCATGGAGCCGGCAAATGACTCCACATGGAGCCGGCAAATGACTCCGCATGGAGCCGGCAAATGACTCCGCATGGAGCCGGCAAATGATTCCACATGGAGTCGGCAAATGACTCCGCATGGAGCCGGCAAATGACTCCGCATGGAGCCGGCAAATGATTCCGCATGGAGTCGGCAAATGACTCCGCATGGAGCCGGCAAATGACTCCGCATGGACGCCAATGACTCTGAGTAGAGCCATCTAATGCTAAATATAGAGGTATGCATGACAGTTGAGAGCATAATATTCTCATGGATTGTAAGAATACATTCCCGCGCCACATATATACTGGTACACACAGATTATAGACAGCAATAGCGACAGCACACAAATTGAAGGGTGGCTGGCCGCAGCCAGATGTGAACCGAATCACGAGTGAGGCATGAAAGCAAGCACTGAGAACAGAGTGTGTCTCAAATGGGAAAGATGTGCATGCGGATAACAGAAATAGGCCATGATGCAGAACCATTTGGGACCGTCAGATTAATTTTCCTGGACCAAGCCAGCCGGGAAAAAACCCTCACGCCGACGGACGCAGTAGTGAGGGAAAAAACCGGGTGTATAACCCCAATGGCGATTTGGCATCGTGTAGGCATGGCAAGCACATATTGGCAAGAGATAAAGAACGCGCCCGATGCCATAATTATGTAACCGACACATGTTGAGCGAGAAATACAATGTCATGTGTGCGCCAGAAACGTGAGTTGAGGTAGCGGGTGGGAGGGAAATTGTGTGGGAACAAAATTAATGTTCCGCAATGACAATGCAAGAGACATGACTAGCGCATGCGCACGGCCGGACCAGCTTCCGGGGCTGAAAGATGCATGCATGATCAAGCGATGCCCGCCCGATTTATTTGGCAAGACATCAAGACATGCCCTCTTGCCCCAGGTGAGCATCCACAACATCAGGGTAGTCAAAAGCTGATCTTAGATTCTTGCTGAGGGTAGAATGCATAACGCCCTTAGGACGTGATGCTGGTATACCAGCAGTTCGTTCAGGCAGTGTGTGCGTTGCATGCCTACAATGATGGACAACACTGCCCACGCTTCGGCCCAGGCCATTATAGACTCGACTCTCCGCTTTTTCTGCTAGGCTGGGGCCAGCACTACTGACCCATCCGAGTCGTTCTCGAGCCTGAAACGTTTGGCTGAGGTTTCAGCGGGCACTGCTGAGGGGCGCAGGAGCCTGAGGAGGAGTGCTAAATCTACGAACTCCCCTCGCAGCACTTTCTCCACCACTCTCTCGGCCACATGTGCAACACACAGGGGACGGGTGTGGGCATGTGGTGGAGGTGCATGTACAGGCACGTCACAGTCAAGCCTACCTACAAAGTTGTTGTAGTACCTGCCGAGTTCAGGTCTTGTTGCGCAGGCGATCTCAGCATCCGGCTCACCAGAGTCGTCCCCGGAAATGGCTTCTCGGATGGAGGAGCGGATCAGCTCGCGGATCTCCTGTTGCTGCTGAAAGAAAATTCGCACAACACTGCTGATATTGCAAGCCAAGGTGCTCAAACAAATTTGTTTGCATAGAAAGGTCTCGCTGCTGTTCATTGCCAGCAAGGCTGCAAGTCCAACGCTTGCGCATGTGCCATTTTCCCACGCTTGGGGACGATGTACGATGACAGCCGGCGTTGCGGACTGCCTGCGAGGCGCTGGCCGCGAGTGCTTCTGTGGCATGATAACTTTGGTTTGCCCGTTGCAAACCTACATATTTACGCAAGTGTGGCGGGGCTTTGTCAAGACGAATAGAATGAACAACAATACACAGTTTTCGATCCGCTTGACTAGAGATAGGGAAGGTGTTAAACATATCATACAGCTCGGCAGAAGGAAAGTATGATGGTTTGCGGAAAAGGACTTTGAGTATCCTCTTATTGTGGACTTCCAGGGTACTCATTAACGATTTACTAAGTAGGGATGACCAGGCAGTTGAGCAATAGAGAAAAATGGGGAGAATATAGCAATGATAAAAAAGGCGAATGCATTCAAGCGGTAGGTGGGAGCAGTGAGACACGAGGTAGCCAACAGCTTTACTGACTTTGCTACAGATATAGTCGACATGTCTACTAAACGATAAGTCTGAGTCAATGACCAAACCAAGATGTTTACCACTGTGAGGTCTGTGAGGGATCCGAGAAGAGTGAATGCATAGGTTGGCTCTGAGTTCGGCAGGAGTAATATCTCAGTCTTGGCGATATAGTCCTTATGCACATTGTACAGATGTACGAAGTTCTGTACTATGGCCGTAGGTGTGTACATACCCGGTTGGGTGTTCATTGTGTGCTATGCATGCGCGTTTGACCCATTTAGCCTCACAATTCATGGCAAACGATCACTTTTGAAGCCTTCTTCACTTTGGGATTGAACCAACGACTAACTAGATCTCTGCCGGAAAAAGATTTCGTATGAAATGCTTTCATGGCCCATTTCATAGTGGAAATAGCAGTAAACACAATAGGGTCCTGCACATTCAACACCCAACCGGGTCTACGGGATTCTACAAGATTATACGGGATTTCGTGCATCTGTACAATGTGCATAAGGCCTTAGTCTCCAGGTAGTCATCCACTGATGCGAGTGATGGACTTCGTTGATACCGCGCTGGAGACTGTCTCGCAGCCTGTCTAGACACTCATTGAACCGGAGCAGTGCAGTATCGTCAGCAAATAAGGACACACCTTCAACATGACTGGGAAGATCATTTATATACACTAGGAAAAGGAGGGGCCCTAGGGGCACTCCGGACAGAACAGGTGAAGCATCTGAGAGAGTTCTACCTACAAAGACAACTTGCGTTCTGTCGGATAGGTAGTCTGTAATCCACTCCAGCGCTGAGTCACACACACCGAAAACTTTGGAAAGTTTAGCAAGTAATGCACGGTGCCACACGGTGTCGAAAGCTTTCTCGAGGTCGAAAAAGCACATGGCAACTTTCCGCCCCATATGACGATGGTCGGCAATGTTTTGGATCAGCTTGGTGAGCTGTAGAGCGGTCGAGTCACCACGACGAAACCCAGATTGCGCGGGATCCAGAGCAGGAGAAATATGATTATACAATTGATTGAAGAAGAGCCGTTCGCAAAGTTTGGAAATACAGGACAGGAGGGTTGAAGAAGAGCCGTTCGCAAAGTTTGGAAATACAGGACAGGAGGGAAATTGGGCGATAGTTACTAGCTTGAGATTTGCTGCCTTTGCACTTGTAAATAGGCACAATTTTAGCCAGTTTCCAGTCAGTAGGGAACTTGCCTGTGGTAAAGGAGAGGTTAAATAGGCGGCTAAGTGGAAACGAAATCGCAGGAGCTAGCTTCTTTATCATATTGTTCGTGATACCGTCTAGCCCTGGCGCTTTCCCAGATTTCAGGCATGCAGAGCAGGGTTGGGCCTTTTTCTTTTCTTTTTCATTATTTTTTGCCATACAATCATGTCACTATAAGAATATTAGCCCCATCCCTCACACAAACAAGTCAACAAAGAGGCATCTTTGGATTGAGGAGTGCTGGTTTCGAAACAACTGGTTTGAAGCTCAAAGTAGAGCTGGTGTTAGCTCAGAGCAGAGCTGCTGTTAGCTCAGAGCAGAGCTGCTGTTAGCTCAAAGTAGAGCTGCTGTTAGCTCAAAGTAGAGCTGCGGTTAGCTCAAAGTAGAGCTGCTGTTAGCTCAAAGTAGAGCTGCGGTTAGCTCAAAGTAGAGCTGCTGTTAGCTCAAAGTAGAGCTGCTGTTAGCTCAAAGTAGAGCTGCTGTTAGCTCAAAGTAGAGCTGCTGTTAGCTCAAAGTAGAGCTGCTGTTAGCTCAAAGTAGAGCTGCTGTTAGCTCAAAGTAGAGCTGCTGTTAGCTCAAGGTAGAGCTGCTGTTAGCTCAAAGTAGAGCTGCTGTTAGCTCAAAGTAGAGCTGCGGTTAGCTCAAAGTAGAGCTGCGGTTAGCTCGAAGTAGAGCTGCTGTTAGCTCAAAGTAGAGCTGCGGTTAGCTCAAAGTAGAGCTGCTGTTAGCTCAAAGTAGAGCTGCTGTTAGCTCAAAGTAGAGCTGCTGTTAGCTCAAAGTAGAGCTGCTGTTAGCTCAACGTAGAGCTGCAATGCTAAATGGATGTAATATAGCGCAAGGCAGAGCCGCAGCAAATAGCTAGATAACACCAGTTGTGAGAGTGGACCCGATTAGTGGGTACGATAATTATGATGGTGTGAATAAGTTGGATAGGGAGGGATGGTGGGAAAAGAAACACTGCTGAAGCACGATCCGTTGTCTGGAAGAGCACAACAGGGCAAGCAAGATTTGTTTTTCTTTTCCGCAAAATGGGCTGGTGCCATTTGTGATTACGCAGCAAAACAAAGCGCATGACGTCAGTCTTGAATGCAGTACAAAGCAATGCAGTGCAGTGTGTGCGCTAGTTCGGATTGTTGCTAACAAGTACTAGCACAGCTAGTACACCATTATAATAATGCATTTGCCATAAGAAAAAAGCATTAACTGGATTTCATCGACCAACACTGTATTATTGGCTTTTAGGGGTAATAGGTGCCGGATTTCTCTACCGAAACTACCGAACTCAAAAGTAACGACACATGTTACACAGTAGCATTATCGAAAATTTTCATCGCCGTTGTTCTTTAGCAGACTTAGAGCTAAAATGTACTTGTACACGTACGGGACATTCCAAAGTTCTTTTCGCTGAACTACATCACATTTTACAGTTGTAAAGTCAAAGTTCTTTTTTTGCCGAAACCACTTTTTATAGTAATAGCTTTCAGGGGCGTAGGAGGGGTTTTGGAAATGGTACGACCAAAGGTCGGCGCGGCCGAAGGCCATTTTGGAGGGGGGTTCGGGGGACCTCCCCCGGGAAAATTGTAAAAAAGACACAAAATCCTGCGTTCTAGGAACTTCTGGCACACTTAACGTACTTCTGGCACAGTTTATAAGTCATAGAATTATTTCACGGGCAGAAGAGACGTGCATGGACATGCACAGATGCATGGCAGATCTACGAGTACGAGTCTAGAAAAAGGTCAAAGTCTGATGCGCATATGCATCGATGGATCCTGATTTTTTATTACGGTTTTGCACGTTCCGGCGGGGGGGGGGGGGGACGGACCACACTTTTCGAAAAGTGGTACGGCCATGGTCGTACCAGTCGTAGCGGGTGCTACGCCCCTGGCTTTGATAGCCGTCGACTTTCCATGATACTACCCGCCTGGTGTGCTGATGAACGTACTCATCATACACTCTACAGTCTACAGTGCTGAGACCAAGACCACCCACACAGCATGAGTGCACACACACCACACACATACACACACACACACACACACACACACACACACACACACACACACACACACACACACACACACACACACACACACACACACCATGCACACACACACACACACACACACACACACACACACACACACACACACACACACACACACACACACACACCATGCACACACACACCATGCACACACACACACACACACACACACACACCATGCACACACACACACACACACACACACACACACACACACACACACACACACACACCATGCACACACACACACACACACACACCATGCACACACACACACACACACACACACACACACACACACACACACACACACACACACACACACACACACACACACACACACACACACACACACACACACACACACACACACACACACACACACACACACACACACACACACACACACACACACACACACACACACACACACACACACACACACACACACACACACACACACACACACACACACACACACACACACACACACACACACACACACACACACACACACACACACACACACACACACACACACACACACACACACACACACACACACACACACACACACACACACACACACACACACACACACACACACACACACACACACACACACACACACACACACACACACACACACACACACACACACACACACACACACACACACACACACACACACACACACACACACACACACACACACACACACACACACACACACACACACACACACACACACACACACACACACACACACACACACACACACACACACACACACACACACACACACACACACACACACACACACACACACACACACACACACACACACACACACACACACACACACACACACACACACACACACACACACACACACACACACACACACACACACACACACACACACACACACACACACACACACACACACACACACACACACACACACACACACACACACACACACACACACACACACACACACACACACACACACACA